GTGCCCAAGATCCCAAGAGGAGACTGGAGGAGAAGGGATTGTGGCGTGACCATCCCTCTTGGGGGGTGATTTCTCGCTTTCTGTCTCTCTGTCTCTCTCTGTCTGTCTGGCGAGCATAAGCGCCCTATAGCAAAAACCTCTCCAAAAAAAGTAAATAAATAAATAAATAAATAAAACTCACAATGAACAAAACATCAAGATCCAGGGGCCAGCTGGTGACATGATGGTTAACATGCTGGACACTCCCACATTATCTACTGTAGTTCGAGTCCCAGACCCGGTGGCTTGCTTTCTCACTTTCTCTCTCTCTCTTTGTTTCTCTCTGGTCAAATTAAAATAAGTGAATGAATAAATAAATTAAATAAATAATTTTTTAAAATTAAAATCCGGCAAGGGGCCAGATGGTGGCACAACAGTAAAATGCGTCACTTGGTGAGGCCGATCCATGTGGGGAGGTTCCAGGCTTGTATCCAGAGACCTCCCTGAGAAGGCATGCACGTGCCCAGGATCAGGGTTGGCTAAGACCAGGGCTGGATCCCACTGCAATTCTTCCCTTCTCCTCCATTCTCCTCTTGGGATCTTTGGGCACCTGTGCATGTGCACCCGTGTGTTTTCTAAGCCACCTGATCTGGACTCGAACAGTGCAGGGTGGGGCCCAGAGCCTTAACCTCCATGCCACCTGCTGGCCTCCATCTTAACCTTTTCTTTTTCTTTTTAAATGTTTTTGTTGTAGGGCACATACATTTGCCAGAGAGAGACAGAGAGACATGCGAGGGAAAGTGAGGAATCCGATGGCCACCCTGCAATCCCTTTTCCTCTATTCTCTTCCTGGGATTTTGGGCACACACGCACATCATTCAGTGTGATGTTCAAGTCACCAGGTCCGATTGATTCCCACGCGACTGGGAATCAGTCACATTAACCATCATACCACCTCCTGAGCCCTCTCTCTCGCTTCCTTTCTCTCTTTCTTTCATGAGCGGGAGAGGCAGGGTGGAGAGTGAGAAACAACGCCCCTAATAGGATCCTGAAGCCTGGCTTATTTCCCTTCATGTAATGCCTTCCAGGATTCCCCGTTTAACTTTGGATAACAGGAGTTTGTTCATTTTACTGGCTGCATAGTATTCCATTGTATATCTATGTATATCTCTCTCTATATATATACATACACACACACATACACACACATTATTTTTAAATTTTGCTATAGGGGATATCCACTTGCCAGAAAGAGAGAGAGAAAGCACTCCCCAGGAGGGATGACCAGTTTATAATTCTCTCAGGATTTGGGGTATGCATGTACATTCACCTGGTGTGTTGGTCAAGCTTCCAGGTCTTGGACTCAAACCAGAGTCAGCCATGTGGGATCCAGCCACCTTAACCACCAAGTCACCAGCTAGCCCTATACCACATTTTCTCCATGTCTCTGTGAGTGGCCACTTACATTGCTTCCATATTTTGGCTTTTGTGAACAGTGCTACAATAAACACTAGGGTGGCTGTCTTTGTGACATTCTGATTTACTTTCCTCTGAGTACATGCCTAGTGGTTGCTGGATCGTATGGTAGTTCTATTTTTAGTTTCTTGAATCCCTATACAGTTTACTATAATGACTGTACTAACGTTTTCCCCCTTATTTGTTTAAAAAATATTTTATTTATTATTATTATTCAATTTGGGGAGAGAGAGAGAGAAGGAGAGTGAGAAAGCAAGCCACCAGGTCTGAGGTTCGAACTGTGATCTGCCATGTGAGAGTCCAGTGCCTTACCAACCCTGGCTGTACTAACTTACATCCCCACCAACAGTGTAAAAGAGTGCTCCTTTCTCCTCATCCTCACCCGCATTTGTTATTATTATTATTTTTTTGTCTTTTTGACAATGGCCATTCTAACTGGGAAATGATCTCTCACTGTGATTTTGATTTGTGTTTTCTGAACTATTAACAATGTTGAGCTTTTTTCATATATATGTTTGTCGGCTATTTTTATGTCTTCTTTTCAGGGCTGTTTATTCAGGTCGTTTGCTCATTTTTTAATTGGGTTATTTGTTTTCTTTCTTTTCTTTTTTTTCTTTTCTGCAGAGTTGTTTGAGTTTCTTGTATATTCTAGTTATTAATCCCTTGGCAGATGGATAATATGCAAATATTTTCCCCCATTCTGTGGGTTGCCTTTTTACTGTTGACTTTCCTTTGCTGCATGGAGGCTTTTTAGTTCATTATAATTTCATTTGTCTATTTTTGCTTTTGTTGCCTGTGCTTTTGAGATTTTATTTATGAATGCTTTGACCATACCAATGTCCTGAAGTGTTTTCTTCAAGTATTTCACTACTTTCTTCTAGTAGTTTCATCGTTTCAGGCTTCATGTTGAAGTCTTTAAACCATCTTGAGCGGATTTTATAGATAGGTCTAGCTTTATTCTGCTTGTGGATACCCAGTTTTTTGTTTGTTTAATTTGCTAGAGGGCATGCGTGCTCACTGGAAGAGACAGAGAAAGAAGGAAAGTGAGAAAGCACTCTTGGGGCTGGCAGGTGGCATGACAGCTAAGGTTGCTGGACTCCCACATGGCTGACCATGGTTCAAGACCTGGACCTCACGCCTGCGTGCTTCGTTTCTCACTTTCCACTTCTCTCTCTCTCTCTCTGTCTTCTCTGGTAAGAGTGTGTGTGTGTGTGCATGCACACACAAATAAATAAAGTTAAATAAAATAATTCTGAAAAAAAAAAAAAAAGCACTCTCCACAGGGGATGCACACACTGCAATCCCTCTTCCTGCATCTCTTTTGGGATCTTGGGTATGCATACACGTGTCAGAGGTTTTTTGTTTTGTTTTTAGTTTTAGCCATAGGGCACATGTGCTTGCCAGAGAAAGGAGAGAGTCTGTGAGAGGGAAAGTTAGAAATCACCCCCATGGAGGGATGGCCATGCTGCAATCCCTTGTCCTCCATTCTCCTCCCGGAATTTTGGGCATGCTGATACATGTGCCTGGCATGATTTTCAAGCCACCAGGTCTGGGACTTGAGCTGCGATCAGCCACAGTGGTTACACTACGCTGCCTGCTGGCTCCACTCAGTGTGTTTTTCAAGCCACCGGGTCCAGGATGCAAACGATGCAGTCGGCCATGTGGGATGCACCCACTTTAACCATGATGCCACCAGGTGGTTTAAGAGACCCAGTTTTCCCCGTTCCTCACTGTGGTCTTGATGTTCATTTCCCTGTTGTTTAGCGATGGTGAGCACTTCTATGTACTTATTGGGCATTTGTACATCTTCTTTGAAGAAATGTGTCTTTGAATTTTC